TGATGATGGCAACAAATGTACAAATGTGCTTGACACAATGTATGTATGTATGTATGGATTGTGATAAGAGTTGTATGAGCCCCCAATAAAATGATTAAAAAAAAAAAGTCTAGGGAATATTTGAATGAGTCCTTGAACAAAACTTGGGAACAACAACAACAACAAAAGAATGCATCAAAGCCACGAGTTTACTGTATAAGAAGGCTAGAAAAGAACAAAAGGCACCAGAGAGATGGAGCTTGAACTCGGCAGGAAGGGACGGTGAAGACTTAAAGGAGAAGATGGAAGGACTTCAGCGATCCAGAGAAAAGTGGGAGTGGACAGATAGGGTCTGCAATGAGCATGCCTCAAGAGTCCAGGTAACAAATGAGATCCATAAAATCACTATCTCTGTTGATTTTTTTAAAAAAATTTTTAGATGAAGTGATTTACTTGATGCCTTGAGTTAGGCAACAATATATATTCAACTACATAAAAAGAATCACATTTTCATTCTACTTGAACATAACGCAGCAGTGGTTAAAAACAATGAACTGTGGAATGGATCTCAGGATTTAAGATTAAAAAAAAACTCATACAGAAAAATTTCAGGTTTCTAACTTCACATTCTAATATCTGAGGAAGCTCAGCATATGCAGCTTCTAACCTATGCTGGCAATCTGTGATCATCATCCGGTACTCTTGCAAGATCTTTGCCTGCTTCTTAATGGCAAGATTTTCACCATCTTCAGCCTTCATTTTTTCAGTCTTTTCTTCTTCTTTTTCTTTTTTTTTCATACATCACTTTTTCTTAGACCAATCGCTTCACAACACCAGTTTTTATCTTGATCTGCCTATGTGAGGATCCCCCATGGTCCTTCGAGCACTGCGGGAAGGCAGGGCAAAGAGCTGGGTAACCCTGGAGGGAGACCTCGAGGAGGCACCGGTTGTATTCAGGTAGCTGCTTCAACCTCATAGCTGTGGATGGTTCTTAATTAGCTATTCTAATAATATCCTCAGTACTTTAAAGTAGAGCAGTCAGTACCTATGAAAAGTTAGCAAGAGAATGACAATACTTCAGCAAAAGGACATTTATAGACAATATATTATTTTAAAATGAAACAAACGCCTTACCTTGTTGTCACTGACTCTATTTTGACTCATACAGACTATACAGAACAAAGTGAAACTGCCCCATAGGGTTCTAAGTTGTAATAGTAGACTGCCACATATTTCTCTAGAATGGTTCCAAACTGTTAGCCTTTTGGTTACCAGCCCAATACTTCATTACTATGTCTCCAGGGCTCCACAAATACATTACTGTTATTGTCGTTAGGTGCCATTGAGTCAGTTCAGACTCATAGCCACCCTATGTACAACAAAACATTGCACGGTCCTGCATGGTCCTAATTGTTCCTATGCCTGAGCCTATTGTTGCAGCCATTGTATCAATCCATCTCCCAGAGGGCCTTCCTCTTTTCACTGCTCCTTCACTTGACCAAATATGATGTCCTTCCCATGGGACTGGTACCTCCAGACAATATGTCCAAAGGATGTAGTACTAAGATTTGTCATCCTTGCCTCTAAGGAACATTTTGGCTGTACTTCTTCCCAAACAGAGCGGTATGTCCTTTTAGCAATCCATGGTATTTTCAATAGCCTTTTCCAGCAGTACACATCAAATCCACTGATTTTTCTTCAGTCTTTCTTATTCAATGTCCAACTTTCACCTGCATAAGAGGCAACTGAACATACTATGGCTTGGGTCAGGCACACCTTCATCCTCAAGTAACACCTTTGCTTTTCAATACTCTAAAAGATCTTGTGAGGTAGATTTACCTAATGCAACACATCTTTTGATCTATGAATACTGATTATAGATGCAAGCAACACAAAATCCTTTAATAACTTTGATCTTTTCTACATTTATCATATTGTTATCTACTGGTCCAGTTGTTAGGATTTTAGTCTTTTTTACATTGAGTTGTAATCCACACTGAAGGCTACAATCCTTGATCTTCATCAGTAAGTGCTTCAAATCCTCCTCACTTTCAGCAAGCAAGGTTGAATTATCTGCATATCTCAGCCTTCCCATCCTGATGCCCCATTGCTCTTCCCATACCCTAGTTTCTCTTGATGATGTGTTCAGCATACAGACTGAATACGTATGGTAAGAGGATACACCCCTGCTACTCTTTTCTGATTTTAAGCCAACCAGTATCCTCTTGTTCTGTTTGCACAACTGCCTCTTGATCCATGTGTAAGTTCCACAAGAACACAATGAAGAATTCTGGAATTCTCATTCTTCTCAAGGTTATCCACACTATTCCGTTATAATAACACTGAATTGATTCTGAATCACTGTAAGTCTTATACAACAGATGGAACCACCACCTGTGCCTACACCATGTCCTCCTCCCAACTGTTACTATGTCTGCGCCCATTAGTACAGCCACCGTGTCAACCATTTTGTTGAAAGTCTTCCTCACTTTCACCTACTCTCTAACTTTGTCAAGCATGACACCCTTCTCCAGTGACTGGTGCCTCCTGATGAGCCCATAGTACATGAGATGAAGACTTAGCATACTTGTTTACTTGCTTCTACATTCTGGCTATACAGCTTCTAAGAAAGATTAGTTCTTTCTTATCGCACATCAGGGCATATTCATGATTTGACAACTCCATAATTCAAATGCACCAGTTCTTTATTCTTTTTCTTCATCTCCAGTTTTCACATTCAAATGAAGTTACTGAAAATAACAGATTGAGCCAGGGGTACCTTGGTCCTCAAGACACCTTTGCTTTGTAAAAATTTTAAAAAGTCATTAGCAGATTTAGAAGGCATTAGAAGATTTGCCTAATACAATGCATCATTTGATTTATTCTTCGGTGGTGTTCACTGTGGATAAAAACAAAAAGAAACCCTTGATTGGTATTTTCTCCATTCACGTAATGCTGCTTTGGGGTCTTGCTCTGCAGATTTTCATTTCATGATGAAACATAATCCATATTGATGGCTGCAATATGATTTCCATCACCATGCCTTCATCAAGTAAGGTTTTTGTGTCATCTGTATACTGCAGTTTGTTAATGAGTCTTTCTCTATTCCTGATCCCTCATTCTTCCTCATATAGCTCAGATTCTCTGATTATGTGCACAGCATATATTAAATGAGATGAAAGAACACAACCCTGATGCAAATCTTTATTTTAAACATGCAGAATCTCATATTCTGTTGGAATGATTACCTCTTGTCTTCATACAGACTCTGCATGAAGACTACAATAAGTGTTCTATAATTCCCATCCTTGGTAATGTTATCCATTACTTGTTATGATACACACACTGATTCAAATATCTTTCTATTTGCTACCTTTATCCATGATTATCTGATGTCAATAATGATATCCCTCATATCATGACCTCTTCTGAATCTGACGAGTTTCGTCTATATATTGATTGGCACTACTATTTTTGAATGATCTTCAACAAAACTTTACTTGTGTGTTACATTAATAACTCTTTGATAATTTACACACAAATAATATCTTCCACTCAACTCAATTTTTAGTCTTACAAATTTCTGGGCAGAGATAATTGAGGACCTCCAGCTTTGCATCCATTTGTTGAAACATCTTCCTTGGTTTTCTGACAATTTCTAAAGTTTTGGTTTTCACCAGTACATTCAGTGTACCTAGCTATCAGTTTTTGATCATATACCCATAAAGAGAAATGAAATTATATCTCTTCTCCTGTAAATTCAGTAGGGGAAAGGAAAATCAAAGTCTAGTCAGTACTGCTCAAAGCTGACTTCTATGAAAGTGAGATGAGGCCTATCTCTCTCTCCCAAACATCCCTCCCCCGTGTCACCTTCTACTTTTTAGCTGGGTTTGAAAATGCATTGCACTAGCCACACAGAACTCACAATTATGGGATTTACTATGAAGTTAACATGCTGTAATCAGATGCCAAATGCTCAGGCTGCAGTTACTCAGTCAGTAGTTTCTTCTTTACAAAGCCTGCAGGCAGGCTTTCCCCTGGTGCTTAGTGTCTTGGTCTGGGCTTTGTTTGCTTTAGCAAAGTTACAAAACTCTTTTAGGGCTGCATATAAATGCTCAAAGGGAATGCTACTTCGTTATAAGTTTTAACCCAGGGGTCCTCAAACTTTTTAAACAGCGGGCCAGTTCACTGTCCCTCAGACCCGTAGGAGGGCCAGACTATAGTTTAAAAAAAAACTATGAACAAATTCCTATGCACACTGCACATATCTTACTTTGAAGTAAAAAACAAAACGGGGCAAAAGCACCCAGCAAGCTGGATAAATGTCCTCGGCAGGCCTCATGTGGCCCGCGGTGCCGTAGTTTGAGGACCCCTGCTAACCCAAAGGGACTCATCTCCTCTAGTCAGCAAATTCGCCTCCTTCAATTAACTTCTCAAAAGCATCCCACTCCACAAGCTAACCTGCTATCTGAAAGCACTAAGCTTTAATTGCTCTGTGGGCTGGAATTCCTCTGCTCTGCCTCAAGCTCTGGCTCCTGTATGCAATCATGTTGCTCCTCTGTCGTTTTTTCTGGTGTCAAAGCTGTGTCCTGGATCAAGGCAGGCATTCCATGCACAGGAAACGTGGGCCCAAAGGATATTCTCCACTCCTGGCTCTTCTCTCTTATTGGTAGTGAAATCCCTCTTCCTGATTCTGAGGTGGCTCATTGTATTTCCAGCAGGATGTCAATCATAATTAATTTTCTAAGCAATTTCTCACAGACCCATCAGGGAAAAAAGGTGATTAACAAAATCTAAGGCTAGAAGAGGAATATTACATAAATTCATTGCATTGCAAAACCTCCTGAAATGGCTCAATGCCACCACTTCCCTTTTTGGTACAGTGACTCTATATTCCTTCCATCTCCTCTTGATGCTCCCTAAGTCCTTCAATAGTCCCCTAAAGCAGTGGTTCTCAACGTGTGGGTTGCGACCCCTTTGGGGGTCGAACGACCCTTTCACAGGGGTCGCCTGATTCATAATAGTAACAAAATTACAATTATGAAGTAGCAACGAAAAAACTTTTATGGTTGTGGGGGGTCACCACCACATGAGGAACTGTATGAAAGGGTTGCGGCGTTAGGAAGGGTGAGAACCACTGCCCTTCCAGTATTCTCCGATATGGAAATCAAAACTTGAATGTTTCTTTAGCTCTTCCAGCTTGAGACATGCCAAGTATGATCTTCCTTTATGCTTTTAACACCAGGTCTTTGCACATTCAAGAGCAGGCTTCAGAGGCTGCTCTGATATGCATTTTGATCTTGTCTTTCTTTTCTGTCTTTGCAATGATCTGTCATTTCATGTATTATATCCGTTTATTGATTATTAGTGGGAGTTTGCAACTGTTTCATATCAACTAGAGTTTTACCTAATAAAGGATTGTTTTGAGCATTATGTTCTTTAAAATTATCTATATGGGTCAAATAGACAATAGCAGCTCAAAAGATTAGAGAGGCAGTGAATTTAATATAGGAGAAACAATTTAAAATGGAGGACGGGAATGATTAACCGACTCAAGGAACATACACAAGTCAGTAAATTGTACAAACTCTTTTTGTTTATTTGTTTTAAGATAATTATATTGGGGACTCTTACAACTCTTACAACAACCCATAAATCAATTGTATTAAGCATATTTGTACATATGTTGCTATCATCATTTTCTAAACATTTATTTTCTATTTGCGCCCTTGGTATCAGCTTCTCTTTTTTCCCCTCCTTCCCCTACCCTCCTGCCCTCATGGACTCTTGATAAATTATACATTATTATTTTCATATCTTACAACAACCACTGTCTCCCTTCACCTACGTTTCTGTTGTTCATCCCCGTGTATACGTGTGTGTGTGTGTGTGTTAATGTGTCAACCATTGCAATCAGTTCCCTCCTCCACTCCTTCTACTCCTACCTTCCCCCTACCATCCTGGTATCACTACTACCATTTCTGTTCCTGAGTAGTTTATTTAACCTGGATTCCCTATGTCATGGGCTCTTATCTGACATGTACAAACTCTTGAACCTTAAATGCAGAAGTTCCTCACGCTGCAGTTAAAATATGCACACATTTCTGTTAACATGGTTTAGTTAAATAACCCCAATTACCCATGAAAATGCTTCAAATTCAGGGATCAGGTGTAAGGCATCATCAGAACAAAAATTCTTACCATAGTGAATGATGGGGGGAGTGCGGAGTGGAGATCCAAAGC